TCTTGCCTAAACCTAAATCATAATCTCCACAAATGCAATCTAAAAAACGTTATTGATTGCATGTTGGTAGAGCTAAATGATAGATTTTCATCGAAAACATTATCATTGATGAAAAGTATCTTTACCGTTTATCCAAATAGTACCAATTTTCTTAATATTGATGCTATCGATGAATTTTGCTTTCATATTGGTGGAGATTCGAGTGCACTCAAAAATGAATTTCTTGTTATTAAATCCATGCTTCAATCGAAAAAAATCAATTATGTTATTGAATTGTATAGTGAATTAATTTCAATGTCAGATGCATTTCCCCAAACGTTAAAAAATGATAACCAATGCCATATAACTATGCCAATTTCACAAGTAACTTGTGAGAGATCTTTTTCAAAGATGAAAATAATTAAGAATTATCTTCGAAATTCAATGGCAAATGAACGTTTAAGTGATTTAACAGTAATGGCTCTTGAGCGAGATTTTGAGATAAATTATGAACGTGTATAATTGATAAATTTTCAAGCAACCATAAAAATTGTAGAATTTTATTGTCTTAAGTTGTATATGTGTATTAAGATATTATCAATAAATATAATATAACTAATATTTTTAAACGTGAATTCGCATGTTTTGATTCTTTATTCAGATTAAAAAGCACTCTTAGATAGTATAATGGATTCGGAAGACTTGCACTGTATTCTATGAAACTTTCATAGGTTGGGACTGAGCCCCCTCAGTTCAAAATTCCTGGCGCCACCGCTACCATGTTGGTCACTCAACCCATCTGGCATCTCTGCTGAAGACAACAATATAGTTAATTGTTGTTTCTCTTGAAGATAAAATCTTACTCTATACATTTGAAAATTTCCAATTTCTATCTTATTGAATATCGTATTTTCAAGAATATCTTTCATTAATACACTATAATGTATTTTCTAGTTTACAGTGTATATAATTGCAAACAACAAAAAGAAAAGAGCATTAGATTTCTATATCTTTCAGTATATAGATTATTCTGAGGAATTTCTAGCGAAAAAAAGAAAGAATGATCTATTCAAAGAATTTTACTCGATACTTTCGAGAGAGAAAGATCTCATTTTATTCTTATACGTTTTCTCTTCTAGTTAATATTCCTGCTAATGCTACGTGGAAGCAGAACGGAGTGACTATTGCTGGAGGTAACGGGAGAGGGAATGCCACTAATCAACTCAGCTACCCTTATGGCCTCTTCGTCGATGGTGATCAAACAGTGGTTATTGCTGACTACGTGAATGATCGTATCATGCAATGGAAGAACGGTGATACAACGAATGGACAAGTTGTTGCTGGTGGTAAAGGCCATGGAAATGGATTACAGCAATTGTATGGTCCAACTGATGTATTAATTGACAAAGAGACGGATAGTCTCATTATTTGTGATCAAGACAATCGACGAGTTGTGCGACGGTCTCGTCGTAGTGGTGCAACACAAGGAGAAATACTCATCGATAACATCCAATGTTGGGGATTAGCAATGGATGAGCAGAGATATCTCTACGTCTCTGACTATGAAAAACATGAAGTAAGACGATATCAATTGGGTGAGAAGAATGGCACTCTCGTAGCTGGCGGTAACGGGCAAGGGGGTGGACTCAATCAACTCAACATGCCGAGATATCTCTTTGTCAATCGAGATCATTCAGTGTACGTATCAGACAACTGGAATCATCGTGTGATGAAATGGGTAGAAGGTGCAAAAGAAGGTATTGCGGTCGCTGGAGGACAAGGTGAAGGGAATGCTCTGACACAATTGTCTTATCCTTATGGAATCTTCGTTGATACGTTTGGTACACTCTATGTAGCAGACTCGCAGAATCATCGTGTAATGCGTTGGACTCAAGGAGACAAGAAACAAGGCGCTGTAATTGTGGGTGGAAATGGTCAAGGAGAAGGAGCAAATCAGTTAAGCTACCCCTGGGGTTTGTCTTTCGATCGACATGGTAATCTCTATGTCGTCGATAATGGTAATAATCGTGTTCAACGATTTTCTATTGAATAAGACTTGTGAATTGTTTTTTCATTGTTCGTTTCTTTTTCTATACTTTGAAATAAATGAACAAGAAAAAAAGAAATTTTCTTTTACTCTTTCGCTTCAAAGAAAAGAAAAAAGCTAAAATATAAAATTACGTCATATGTTTCTTTTCTTCTTCTTCTCTTATTTATTTATTTGTTAAATGAAAAGAAATGAATTAATTTTTTTTCGCAAAAAATATTAATTGTTAAAGTGAAAAAAATAAATTGTTTTGGAAATATTTATTATTTAAGTGAAAAAATAAAATTTTGTATTATTTTCATAAAAATATTCATTAGTAAAATAAATTAATTTATTAGTAAATTCAAAAATATTTAGTAAGAAAATAAAATAATTTATTGGTATAAAAAAATATTTAGTAGTGAAATGAAAAGAAAAAAATTTGTGTTATTTAAATGAAAATTTTATGATTTTAATGAAAATAAATTTTGTATTATTCAAATGAAAATAAATTTTGTGTTATTTGAATGAAAATAAATTTTGTATTATGTAGATGAAAATTTGTATTATTTGAATGAAAATAAAATTTTGTATTATTTAAATGCAAATAAAATTTGAGTTATGTTGTAATCCAAATCCAGTTGTAATCGTATTTCTCAATAAGTTCAACTCATTGTTATTTTCCATTTAAACACAATAAGAAGTAATAAATATAAATAGTCTCCTTCGGTGAACCTTTAAGTAGATTTAACATGAATATTGTATACAGGCTATCTAACGTTTATTTCTCTCGTTTGTAATGTTCATGCACTGCACTCGTCTGCAATTTATGACCCGATGTACAAAAATATTCATTGCCTTCAAGATATAATCAAACCACAGCTTTTTTTCCCTTTCTGTTATTTAGATATTAACAGATATCCTTCTATTCGATGGACCTAATGCATTTTCTTAGAGCACGATTGTGCCGATATTGATGGCACGCTTCGATGATTCTCCTTCCTCTTCCTTCTATTCTCTTTCCATTATTATAATATATCTCTCTCCTGTCTCTCTCCTATATATACGTGTGTTATGTATGAAGTTGTTACACTCTGGATATGTGAATAAACGAATAAACATCATTGCCGCGAGTGGCTGTAAGCTACTCCACCTCTATCCAGTTTGCCAAAACGATATAAACTCAACAGAGTCCTATTTATCGTTACAATAATGATCGTCCAAAAAGAGAACCATGAATCGTATACAGCTAATAAAACAACTGTGAAGCCACTTACAAAAAAGTATGCATAAAAATTAGTTTTTATTTGCATGTTTAGCATGCCTTAAAGGTGCCATCGTTGTTCCAATGCTCCCTGTTGAATAAAAGATCAAGATCATCATCAGAAGATAATATTATTAAACGTCTATTAGGATCTTGATTGTCGTACAATAGAAAACGTGCACCACCATTAGTTATTTGTAGTTCATCAGGAATTACGATTTCATCATATGTTAGTGGTCGTGGTAAAGGTATGTCATTTCTTTTTCTTTCACGTTCAATCATTCTTTGCGATGAATGATATGTTGGCACAGCTGCATCATCATTTTTATCAACATTTTGCAGTACTTCATAAATTATACGACGTGGAGGATCATGAGATGTTGTTGCACTGGTTGTAATTTTTGATTTAAATTCAGCTGATATAGTTGCTTCCGGGTTGGGTGCATGTACATCTTCTGTTATTCTATTATATTGATCACCATCAAAAGTAACACGACCAGCACAATCGTTTCTCGAGCAGCGCCAGATTCTTTGTGATTTATTTGCACGACGATAAGAATAACCCTCGAGCAAAAGTTTATCGTATCCTTTCGAAGACTTCACAATTGACATTAAGTACTGATAATCAAATTAGGTGAACAACAACGAGGATCAAACGAACACAAGAAATATTGAAAAAACTCGAACAGGTTTTTCGTCTTATTAATTTTGATTTGGTCCTCTAGAAAAGCTAGATTTAAACGAATTTCTGGAACCATAAGATGTCACATATTTACACTTTTTTTATATTGAACCACTAATTTATTCAGTATTAATTTTTCTATTTCTTTAATTTGTTTCTCCTATGAGGCTCAAATGTCGGGGGCTCAACTGTCGTGTTGCCTTAATATTGTGTTGGTTTCGTGATACCAAAATCAAGTAGCTATGAAAAGATTAAACAGCTGCGCAGAAATTAACTAACTGTAGAAAAAATTAAGCAGGCTATGGAGGAATTAAATAGCTGTACAAGAAATACAATAGTCGTCGAAAGTCAACTGGCTAGGTAAAATTCAAGTAGCTTAACACATTTGTTTCAATAGTTGCATGTTGATATAAAAAGTATCTCGTTTGAGAAACTACGGTCTTATATTGCGAAGATCTTAGGAGACACTGGTAATACCTGATAGTACCTGGTAATACCTGGTAGTACCTGGTAGTACCTGTTAATACTTGGTAATACCTGGTAATATCTGGTAGTACCTAGTAGTACCTGGCGATACCTGGTAGTACCTGGTAATACTTGGTAATACCTGGTAGTACCTGTTAATACCTGGTAGTACCTGTTAATACCTGGTAGTACCTGGTAGTACCTGAAAGCACTTGACAGTTGTTTTACATATGTACATGTATATATCATATATATATATATATATCAAGGGGAAACCGCGGACTTGAAGTAGAAAAGTATGTCAAAGTACGTCAAAGTAGGCTACTTGAAGTAGCTCAAAGCACCACCCAAGTAGTCCAAAGTAGGAACAAGTAGCTTCAAGTAATTTCAAGTAACTTCAGATAAATTTGAAGTTGAAAAGTACTTCAAAGTGAGCTACTTCAAGTAGTTGAAAGTAACTTGAAGTAGCTTAAAATAGCTCAAAGTAACTTCAAGTGTAAAAGTCCACGGTTTCCCCCTTGATATATATAGGTATATAAAATTTGAATTATTTGGCAATTCATTTCCTCCATGAACTCCCTTTTGATGCCCATTTCTGATATCATAATATATAATTTGTTACAATCATTATTAAAGCTTCTCTTATTGTGATTTCCACCAGTTAAGCTGTTAAGAGGATAAATGAAGATCATATATTCAAAAGTTTCTCAACGACTTGGATTAGGAGACTCAGAAGACATCTTTTCTAATAGGGACAATTTATGGACAGGTTTAAATATATGAAATGAAGACTCAAGCCCGTACTAGGGCTGCTATATTTCCATCATTGTTACCCGTAAGGGATGAGTAACGGCGATTAGCTTCCAAGAACTTATAGCTAGTGTGAAGGCTTAGGGTCTGTCGATCTTAAATCGATAACTTTGTTGTCGTAAATTAACCACTATTACTTTTGCCAGCGCAAATGGTTATCATAATAAGTGTGATAGATCTTATTCCATTTGGGCTTTCTCAAAAACTGTTCCCACATATTCTTCAAATCCCTAATCGATATCTAATAAAAAATTTAGGTACCCGGGAAACCTTTGTACGTTTCCCTTGAGAAAAAGACTTGTACATGCACACAAGAAGAGCATAAATTTACACATAATACGATGCTAAAATAATAAAATGTGAGAAAACATGCTGTCTTACAAACCCATTTTTCTTCAACGCATCTGTAGCATATCGCCAACTGAGAACTATCCTTAATTTTTACTAGGTATATGAATATTTGATGTCGTTCCGAAATTGAAAACAATCAAAATTCAATCAAACGATGAACCATAGCAAAGAAAATGGATCCAGTAAAAACTAAATGCTATCGGATTGGACGAAACAAAAAGATCATGAAGCAGAAATGAAACGATCGATAAGTTCAAAGGCTACTCGCGGTTGTTCATAGGGAACAGAATGACCAGCATTACGAACCCAAGCTAAAAAGAAAGAATGTGCTCGTTTGAGATAACCAGCGACATCTTGGTCATCTTCTTTCACCTTCCAAATGATGCGGTCAGCACTACGCAATTGATCAGCATAGTTCTATTCGAGTTTATAAATCCAGTTCATTGTTACCGAAGAGGGTATAATAACATCAAGTAATCCATTATAAATCAATATTTTATATTTATTATTGAGAATTGTCGGAACTGTGTTTACGATTGATTGAATGATATCATCTTGAAGACCAGTTTGTACTTTTCACCATCATTATATGTCATGTTGCCAACATGAATTTGGCGACGATGTTCGCTGGCTGTCACCCAAGGAAAATAGTAGAAAAGTTTATCGGAAAAGTTAGTACGATGATAATTCTCCGAATCAATCATACCAGTCGCATTTAGATAGACAAAATCGAAAAGATCGTCAATGATTGAGGAAGCTTGTGGATATTAACCTTGCCAGATAGCTTCAAATACCGTTGCAGTTATCAAAGTTTCATATTCTAGCTGCCGTTCATCAATTAAACCCATTTGATACATTGCTGGTCCATAATCCTACTGGTTATAGGCATCAACTAAATCATCACCGATGGCCATGCCCTCGAGATTATTTTTCAATTTGGCTTGATGATTCTCTATGTAAATTTTGTTGACAATGGCTGAGACATATTTACCACCATAGGATTCACCAACAGCATAGAAATCACATGAAGCATATTCACTATAGATTTGAAAGAACTGAATGAGCATTGCGTAGAGACCGCTTGCTACTTCATCTTCAGTGTGCACATAGCATCGATCATCGGCAGTAAAGCTATATTCAGTGCCAACCGGTTGATCGATAAAGGAAGGTGATATTTAGAGTTCCAAGCTATATTACTCGAATGAAATCGTTCAGCTTCATCAACTTGAATAGTACCAAGTTCAGAGAAGAGACCAAAGAGAGATGACGCACCTGGTCTACCTTGCAACCAAATAATTAGTGGTGAGTCAATATGACCATTTTCAGAAGGAAAAAAAACAGAAAAAGAGACTAATATTACATGTTTTACTGATAGTTAAATAGCCGGAATTTGATGAAAAAGAATGAGCTGGTTCTAGATAGACTTGACTTGAATTAAGCGCTAGCTCAATTTGACATGTTTCTAAAGAAGGTGTAAGAAAAAGTGGTTCGCTGGGATCGTCACCTGAACGAAACAAAGTCTGAGAAATGCTGGAAAGACGACGACGAAGTATATGGAAGCCTTCGATACGAACCGATACATAAAACATAATTAACAGAAAACCAGTTAGTGGATTTCGCAAATGAAACATGCTTTATTAGTTATCATACAAGATATGTTTGCCTATATTCATGAATCAGTGTTTTTTGTCTCTTATCAAAATGTGGTAAAAAAGAAAAAGAAACAATTATCTTTGTAATCATTATATTTACATACGAGTTTGTCCTCGTATGAATAGCTCCAATGAACTGGTCGAAAGACAATGTTCGATAGAGATCGTCAGAGACTGGTAGTCATCGATCTTTCTTCGTGCTAAAGAACGATTCTAACCATTTAATATAAGAAATGGCATATGTGACTGTGGATTTTCATGGGTTCGAGGAAAAAAGCCTCTTCTCTGTTACTTTCAAGACTATGATGTTATGTTTAATAGTGGACCAATATAATTTAATTTCCGCCATTACAAATATTTATTCTACTTGTTTTAATTTTAATTTTTTTTGCACGATCAACAGAAGGTTAACAGTATTTGTTTTAAATGTTATCTATCTTATTCAGATTCGATCATAAAATATTTTCCTAGCTATCCACACGATCGTAGGTATGTAAAATTCTTTACGGAGACAACAATCGACAAGAATGCCTGAACCAACGAAATTGAATAATTAAATTCGTTTTTTCGTGAAGCGTTTTTCCAATGTGTTAAATAGTCATATTCTTTTATCAATAAACATAGTAAACAAGTCTGGTTTTTAAGCTTAGTTTTATTATGGAAGAAGTTTTTGAAAAAATTTGTCCCACCCATGGAAAATTTTCTACTCCTCCAAGATTCTACATCTCTGAGGTTAGTCAAAATGAAATATGTTCAAATCTCATATATATAAAAATAATGATTTTATTTTGCACACAATAAATATTTCTAGAAATCTTCATGCATATATTTCTTTATTTTCTTATTGAAATAGTTTTATCTCGTAATATATACTCATTTTTATTCTTTATAAAAAAAATAATAATAACAGAGATAATGAACTTTTGGAAAAAAAACCTATTATTTAATTAATTATAAAATGAATAGAGCTATTTTCTCAAAACTATACTATATTTTAATATAATATTTTTACTTACTATTTTAATAAATTGATGAGATATGAAATAAAAATAAAATATAGTTTGTCTAGTTTAAATATTGAAATTAATCTAAATAATAATAATAATAATAATAATTTTCTTTGAGATTTTTTTCGGAATATAGTTTTTACGTTTGAAAGTAATAAAGTATAGTTATAAGAGAATTTGTAAAAGTAGATGTCACCATTAAATGAAATGTTAGTTAATACATTTCTACGAATTTTCTCATTTAATTCGTTAAACTATATGTCACTATTCAAGAGAGAGGCATATACTGTAAGAAAAAAGAGATTTCAGTCCAATTCTTATTCAAGATAAATGGATAGTTTAGTATTTTATTCGCCTATCAATCATTTTTTGAAGGTCATATTTATATACTTTCGTTTTTTAGAATTTTTTTTCTTTTCTAAAATATTAAACGTCTTTTCAATGGATGATCAATCAAATAGATCTAATACTAATGATCTTCCAATGGTAGTGATCTGATATTTTCTCTTTTATTTTTCTTTGTTTTCTCTAAATTATTTGTTTAGCGTTCAGCTAAATTAATAGGAAATGAAAATCGTCAACTTTCAACATATATCGATAATACGTCATCTGCATCTTCAAATTCTAAAAGTGAAAATAAGCCAGGTATACGTAATGTCGACAATGGTAATCTGATGGCGTTATCAAACTATACCGAAAATGATGCTGTAAGTAGTTAAATTTTACATTTAAATTCAATAATTCTATGAGAAAAATCAGTATAATATCAGTTATCAGCAGTGTGGGAGTTAAAATTAGGGTAGTTATAACTCGAGTTATAACTTTTGAGTTATAACCGATCAAAGTTAGGCCAAAAAGTTGATCGAGTTATAACTACGGTTGATAGCCTAGTTATAACTACCAACCGTAGTTATAACTATCAACCCGAGTTATAACTATCAACCCGAGTTATAACTATCAACCCGAGTTATAACTATCAACCCGAGTTATAACTATCAACTCGAGTTATAACTACGGTTGATAGCCTAGTTATAACTATCAACCCGAATTATAACTATCAACTCGAGTTATAACTACGGTTGATAGCCTAGTTATAACTATCAACCGTAACTGCAACCAATGTTTTGATAATTCAATATATTCAAGGCACATTGATACTTCTAAAAAATCATTTTGGTGAATGCATTATTGATGTATTTTGAGGTTTATTTTTCTACATTAACCTCGTCATTTAAAACATTTTATTTCAATGAATAGAAATTTCAGGTTAAGGAAAGAGTATTTTAGATAAAGCTTAAAATTTCTTAAAAAAGTTCAGCATATAATTTGAGCGGTTAACATGACAATATGAAATGTATCGACTTTTATTCTTTTTTTTTCGCCCAACACGACGGGAGAGAAGGACGATTGTATTTTCTACATTAATTGTTGCTCTCTCTCTCTTTCGTTCGCTTAAATCAGTATTGGTAGAAAAAAACAGTGATCAACAGAATAATCGAAAATTAAGANTATAATCCCTAATATTAACGAAAACATTACTATTCATACTAATGGTGAATGTTTCCGTTAACCGTTAATATCATTCAAGAACATTGACATTAATATTAATGATTAATGAAAACATTAATTTTAAAATTAATGTTAATGTTTTTCATTAATCATTAATATTAATGAATTAAGTTTTTCTTAGAAAACATTAACCATTAATATAAATGGCTAATGGAAGTCATTAATTAATGTCATTAATTAAGTTCCGTTAAAAAAAATGGTCCACCCCTACTTTAGCCCCTTTAATCCCTTTAACTCTTTTACTCCCTTTAGTCCTTTTACTCCCTTTAGTCCTTTTACTCCCTTTAGCCCCTTCAATCCCTTTAACTCTTTCACTCCCTTTAACCCTTTTACTCCCTTTACTCCCTTTACTCCCTTTACTCCCTTTAGTCCTTTTACTCCCTTTAGTCCCTTTGGTCGCCTTTGACCACTTTAGGTCTAAAAAGGGATTAAAGGGACTAAAGGAACTAAAGGAACTAAAGGAACTAAAGGGAGTAAAGGGAGTAAATGAGACTAAAGGGAGTAAAGGGAGTAAAAGCATTAAAGGGATAAATATCGCATATATTTTCAAAGGAAAGTTAGACCAGGATAGCTTTAATTTCTTGTGGACCTATGGTTGATAGCCTAGTTATAACTATCAACCGTAACTGCAACCAATGTTTTGATAATTCAATATATTGAAGGTACATTGATACTTCTGAAAAATCATTTTGGTGAATGCATTATTGATGTATTTTGAGGTTTATTTTTCTACATTAACCTCGTCATTTAAAAAATTTTATTTCAATGAATAGAAATTTCAGCTTAAGAAAAGAGTATTTTAGATAAAGCTTAAAATTTTTTAAAAAAGTTCAGCATATAATTTGAGCGGTTAACATGACAATATGAAATGTATCGACTTTTATTCTTTTTTTTTCGCCCAACACGACGGGAGAGAAGGACGATTGTATTTTCTACATTAATTGTTGCTCTCTCTCTCTTTCGTTCGCTTAAATCAGTATTGGTAGAAAAAAACAGTGATCAACAGAATAATCGAAAATTAAGACATTTCTTCTAATTGATCACACTCTCGCGCTAATTCGTAGTCGTAGTCTGATATCGGCTATACAGTTCATCGACTGAATATGAACTAAATAAGAGTCGAGAATAGGTTGCACGTATACGGCCAATCAGATAACAAATAGAAAAACATGCACTTGAATCAAAGTAAAAAATTAAATGGAACTTAAATCCATGTTAACAATGTTTTTTTTAAATTAAGCAATAGTATATCTATTTTCACATTGATTTGGCAATGAGGAAAACTGAAATATTACGCATGAATAGCTTGTGCGCTTCAAAAAGCTTTTAACTTTTCTGTTTTTTGTTCACTAATAACACAACGATTGATCTGCATACTACTTATATACACATCCGTACTTTCATTTATTGTGGCTATCCATTGGATTGTATTCAGTTGCCATATCTCCGAATATTTTTAGTTGTGTGTTCAAGACAAAGATACCCAGAAAAACAGAAAAGGAAGCTCATAAGCAATTCTCCATATGACTGAAGAATAATCTTGGATCTAATAACAAATGTCCTTTCCGAAGTTCTACATTTCAGTGAAATATTTTTTTCTCCTGTTGTATTCTAACTACAAAATTTACAGGGTTAATCTTGAAAAATATCTGTTAGTTATAACTCAAGTTGATAGTTATAACTAGGCTATCAACCGTAGTTATAACTGGAGTTGATAGTTATAACTCGGGTTGATAGTTACAACTCCGGTTGATAGTTATAGCTCGAGTTATAACCATTTTCACTTTTTGCCATTTTGATCAACTATCAACTTTTTGAAAAATAGTTTTAACTCCCACACTGACAACGATACAACGACACTGAAGATTATAGACTGCTTTTTTCTACATATATCTGATGTACTAAGTACAAAATATCTTTCAGTTATCAAAAACACTGACAAGACGAAATGGTTTCTAAATATATAGGAAAATGCATTTCTGTTCGATATATTTTCAACTGTTCTATAGATACGTGTTCACAAAAATATAAACAAAACAAAATTAAATAAAGATTAAAAAACCTTATTTTTCTGGTTTATCAATATAAACTATCTTTTCTCTATACTATTTAAATATCTCGTACACTTGAAAGTACATTAGAAAGCTCTCGTGTAGATCTATCTTGATCCGTTGAGCTCAGTGTTTGTTTCGTTGTGTGAGTAAACGGTGAGGTGCTTTTCTAAAAATGAACGGTTTTTTATGCGGTTTTCGAGAGTTTCTGGGATTTTTGAGGGTGGAGGCGCGGTTGATTTGGGTGGAAAGAGCCATGATTCAATAGAGCATGTTAAGTTGTATCTTGGTTCGTACAATTGAAATCTTGGTCCGGCGTATTTGCGAATCCTTTTAAAAAATACTCGAATCCTGTCCTAGAATATCCTACGTGAAGATCAGTGAGAGAGCAGCTTTGTGATCCCGATAAACTAATTAGAAATAAGCAATCTCTATGTCAGTACTAGCTGTGTGTTATGTTATAAACACTAGTCATAATATTTACAATATGTGCAACACACCATTTTTCAAGAATATGTCACTCTTTTCAAAAGAATCTTCATTTTTTCGAAAAATATAGGAATATAGGAAAACAGTTTCAAATATTGTCCATTATAGGATCAACTTAAAAAACATAGGAAATATAGTCCTACTACGAAGTCAACTTTCACTTCCCTTAGGTATCATAGGAAATAATGTTTTTCTTCTTTACGATGCGTAAGTCATAAATCAAATCGATCATTTATTCTCTTCAATCATACATCGTTCTTAATCAAGGAAAGATGTGCCAAAATCATAAGCTAATGATGAGGCCATGTCTAAAATCCATTTTTTAAAAAGCAACGTCGTTCGTGAGCTATACAACTTTAAGAAACAATACTTAACAGTAACAGCTAATATTTTCCTAATATATCTATTCATGACTGTTCTGCAAAAGAAGATTGATATCTCAAATGGTACATTTATATATATATATATATATATATATACATTTTTATTATCTTCTGCTATTTAAATTCCCTCATAAAGGAGATTCGAATGTTTAGAAAAATCTTTCAATAGTTTATACAAATGAAATGCGAGAAACGATAATAAACAGATGAGCTTCCTTATACGTATAGTAATGTACAATAGAGATTCATTATCTTTTACTAATCGGTTAAGATAAGGTATCTGAATGCAATTAAAATTAATTATGAACTTCTCTCTATGTGGATCTAAGCTTCCTAAAAGTAGACATCGTATAGAAGCATCTTCAGATATCTTTCAGCATCTTCAGTCAACCAACTCTTGTAGATAATCTTTAGGCCGAATGAAATTCTAAATTATTCTCTTTTTGTGTTCATTAATATCTGTATCAATGGAATTCATTTCGAACTAAATTTGTTTTTGTTTTTCTCTTTTCAGTACGATAATTTGAATTTATAAAAGAATATAACAATTAATTAGAGATCTTTCTTATTTTCAAAGCAGGTTTTCCTAATCATAAAATAAGTAGAAATGATGATTTCCTCTTAATTTATTTTAAATTTAAAATAGATATAAATCATGCAAATTAATATTTACAATGGGTTAAAATTTCAATTTTTTAAAATCTTTTGTTTAATTTAATAAAATTTTTACGAATGTTAATGATTAACTCTCTAATAAAAATATCGTTCTTCCTCCAATAGAAAGGATACCTATCCTGATTCTATTATTTCATGATGAATGTGTAAACTATTATTGTTTTAGTTATTTGGACTAAATTCATGAAGAAAGACAAATAGAATGAGAAAATATTATTTTCTATTATTTTATGAGTGATAGTTTAATCTTCTATAGAAAAAAACGGACAAGAGTGACCCCGATGAACTTTGTAATACGATGCATTAAACAAATAGAACAATGAGAATATTTTATGGGGCAATCTGCTTGGACGTGTCCATAAAGAAACAAGAAAGTTATTCAGCGAGAGAGATAAATACAGAGAGAAAGAGAGACAGAGAAATAAGAAAAGGAAAGAAAAATTCTTTTTCCTTGGCCTATTCGCGTTTTTTTTGTTTTCGAATAGAGAGAGGATAAGAGAAAAAAATATTGAACATATTTGTTACCGTTCATTCTTGTTTTTCTAACGTGTTTAATCGTTTACGATGTGTTATTTATACGGCGTTCCACCTGTAAGTGACTTTTATTGAAATCAGATTTTTTGAATTCGTAGAAATTCTCATATATGAATAATAAAAAAAGATAACCGACTAAAACTAAGTTTTAGCTTTGAACATTAATCTGAATATTTAATCATTCAATTAATAACACTAGTTATAGACATATTTTCTTTTTTTATCAAACTTTCTCCACAATTCACCATTTATAAATGACTCTGTTCGTGTCTATATTACTGATCTATTAGAAAAAGAGGCATCATTCAAAGAAAACTCTATCTCTGAAAACTTTTTTATTTGATTTTGTTTTGAGATTGTAATATATATATATTTATTTATTTAAATGTGCATATAATCTAAGCCTAATCAGAACGAGAAATTTTATGTTAATTAAATTCATATGTTCTAGATTTCTTTTTCTATAATAATATATTATATTATGTACGAATCATGATTATTATAATGATCATAGATAAAATATAAAATTATTTAAAAACATATTGTTATATAAATTAGCTTTGAAGAAATTTTCAATTGACTATCATATGGTTTTTTTAACGATTATTTTAATTTATTTTCATAATACTTCATTAATAATTTTATTTTGTTCTATAGGAAAGTCTACCTTCATCATTTTCTCCACCACCTGCTCCATCACCACCACCATTGATTATTAATGAAAGTGAATTACCTACAGCATCACATGAAATTGAAATATTGCTGTCGGAAAAACAGAAACTGGAAGATGAAAAACAAAACATTGAAAAAATGATTAAAAAAAATGAAGAAGAAATAAATAAATATATAAATAGTAAGTATCTGTGGATTTGTTTGATAACTAATGTCATTCTCAAGTACTTGATGTTTAGGTGTAAGTAAACATTGTTTTTTGGGTGTTCAAATTAAAGGTAAATTATCTGATGAAGTATTAATAAAAGTATGTAAATACATACATTGAATAAGTTTTTAAGATATATATATAATTCTAGTTGTATGATGATATAGCACCAATAACATGCTGTAAGTTGCTGTTTATTTTCTTTGATATTTTTCTAAAATTTTTAAATAAGTTTCAATGAAGTATTTTTGTAGCTAATTTTCTACAATTGATTCAGATAGATAAGATCTTATTGTTTTTCGTTGTGCATTTAAATGAACATAATATGAATTGTCATTCGATCGAAAAACAAAAGTGAATTGTGTAATAAAGATATGTAGATCTATTTCCTTTGATGAAAATAGTATCACTGGTTAAAACTAATTTATATATATATATATTTCTATTAACTTCAAAACTGTAATTCAATTTGTAAGAAAAAGAAGAAAAATTTTTTCCATATATTATTTTGTACAGGATAGGTACAAGTATTTTTCCAGGGAGACAACGCTATGATTTTGAAAAGAATTAAAAAGAAATTTTCTATCAAATGAAAGGGGATCATAAATAGGATTTGTCAATATTAAATAGTTAGAATTCGTTTAATGTTTTTATATGAAACATAATTAATTTCTAGAAACTTTCGCTATTTAAGCATGAAAAACGTTCTTTCATTAGACAGTCGAAAAACTAAATCGGATTCAAATCGATGACTTTTTACAAGGTAATGTTGCAAAAATTTCTAGAAATTTGTTATGTTTGATACGGAAAGATTGACAGAACCTTTGCTATTTAATACTGATAAATACTATTTTTGATCGCCTTTCATTCGATTTAAAAATTGTTATTGATCCTATTGAAAATCACAGAATTTTGTCCTGTAAAAAGCCATTCTTATCTATCCTGTTTCTAGAGATTGATTATGTTTGATATAAAAAGTTTTGTAGAGCTCTTACTATCTAACATCAGTAAATTTCAGTTTTGACGCGCTTTCATTTAGTATAAAATTTATTACTGATTATTTTTAAAATAATAGGGTTATCCTCTGGAAAATTATTCATTTAACTTTTAAAGAAATTACAAAAAAAGTATTTCGCTTTTCCATAGATTAATGCATAGATGGAACCGGTACCGGTCTGGAAAAAAGTGGGTCGATCCCATCTATGGATTAGAGACATACATTAATAGAACACAGATGTTAACATTTTGGGTGATTTTTGTTAAAAATCATTCAGGTTTTTCAGACTCAATCTTTGAGCGAATGCTAACGGGCATTCACAGTTGAGCGTGTGTTGATTGGATTAATTAATTATTTGATTTGTTGTTGGTGGTATAGTATATATGACTTTCCCAATGTGTTCTAATCTGATAGCTTCTATCTATGACATATAAGACTGACAACATTTTTTGTGGTTTGTTTGAATATTTCTGAAATAAACCTTTTTAAAACATGTTTTTGCTTATCTCTATTTGTTTGATTTAGACAATCAAAAAGTTATATGAATTTCTATCGATGAAAACATTGATTCTGACTTATTCGAACTATTTATTATTGAAACTGATGGTAAAGGAAAAAGATGATTGTACTAAATAACAATTCAAGATAATATGATAAAACTTAGAGAAAAATATGTAATATTTGTATGCCTTACTATGGGTAGAAGGAACAAGACAAAACGCTGAAATTTTTATCATAGGGTCAAGACATTATCAGATAGACTTTATGAAAATTACACTTGTAAACTATGAGATTTAAAAGAATAACGAAAGAAATAATTTTGACGAAATAATCAAAGATATTTCTATGGAAACACATATAAAGAAGATTGAAGGTATAAAAGATTTTATAATAATATTTGTTCTTTTCATTGTTTTCTTTTCAAAAGTTACAACCGTTTTATTGAGTTAAGATTTATCTCTATAGATTTACTGAAAAAAACGAAATCATGGAATTTTGACTTGTGATTTTTTCCATTGATCGGAATAATAACCCTCTGAGACTATTTGAAGAGTGACGTGTGAAAAAAAAACAATGTTCCCTTCTTCAAATATTTATTTTATAACACAATAGCATTTTTCATAATGTTTTTATAACAAACGACTACTTTTGAAAAGAAATAATATTTCAAGAAATAAACTGTTTTTGCGAGTCAATCGCAGATAGTCTATATGACTACCATACCTATTTGTAAGCAAAATTTAAGATCCAAATTTCATTATTTTATATTTTCCGTAAATGCAGAGATGAATCGTAAGCTGAATAAAATGCTCACAACTATTGCAAAGAGAGCCATGAAAGAAATTCGTTTTCGGATTTTTACCATGTCCATATGCCCGATTGAATGAAATATAAATGGAATCAAAACGAAACGTAGCACCTTGACAGGTTTTCTCGTTAGAAAAATTTCCATTTAGAATTCATGTAAAATAAAGATTATTTATGATCTTTTTTTTATCTACACACAATAATAAATGGTTTTAAGTAAAGCATTTAAAAGAGAAATGAGAGAAGTTAAATAATGTGAAGAATATCAACATTGATTAAAAGCTTTTGTTTTATTTTATTTATCGAATACAAACATTAAAAGATCATTATTATTTCAAAGAAATTTTTTTTATTTGACAAGAAAAAACATAATAACAAATACCTAATAAATAGAATCTTCTATTTATTTAAAGCTTTTTAAAATGGTTTTCATTTATATAATATGTAGAAAAGGAGTGAAAGAAAAAAAAAAGTTTCATATATAAGTTTCATTGGTATTTGACTTATGAGGCTTTTACATTATCAGCTTAGAAATTTTTTTCTAGCATCGCAAATAGTCCTGTGTTTTTTCGACAACACTATCCTACCTTGAAAAATAAGATTGAATTCCATAAAAAACACACGCATTATTCGAATAATAATTCTCTTTTAACGCTTCAATCAAATATTTACACCAACGGGCGTCCCAGAAAAAATGAATTTATCAGTATTTTTCACATTTCTCTTCTATTATCCCTGTAATTAAAGCCATTTTTTATTATAAAAAGATAGCGTTTGAAATTCTCCTCCAAACCAAATATGACCCTAGCTCAGAAACAGTTATATGTATTTGAAGAAAAGAGAAATAAGTAGCTTTAAAAGGTAAATAACGGTCGTTCTATAATGAACGGGCACGCTTAGCATTAAATATTTTGATTTCATCCTTTATCCTATGGTATATTTTGTTTTTTTAATTATACGTATTTATAGATTCAAACATGAGGTACAAAGCATGGCTGCTTATTATTGGTGGCATATTTACATTTTTCGGTTGCTAGTTTGTCTTTAGTTTTCGTCTTTTTTCAAATATATCTAAGACAGTTTTTAGGCCAACTGATATATGGCTTGATAGAAAATTTCAAGCGTTATCTTTTTATAATAAAAAGGACTTTAATTACCAGGATAATAAAGCAGGAATCTTATGAATACCGGGAGGTCCATTTTTCCTGGAACATTGTTATTAAAATAATCTTATTAATCAGAATTAACAATTATATATATATATAATTTTTTTTCGTTTCTAGCATATTTTCGTGCTACATGTACAAGAAGATATGGAATTGATTTTCAAAACACTTCTCTTAATTATTTGGTTATTAACAAATATATAGAAGGTAAACATTTTTTTAAGAATAAAATAATAAAAAAAGTTTTTTTTACTTTTGTTTCGCTTCAGGAGGTGAAGTATTTGCTTATGTACAAAATAATAATAATAGGTAAAAACTCTAGTGTTATTAAATAATTGTAATACTATTAATTTTCATATATTTAGAATATTAGAAAAAAGAGAAAAAGAAAATAATGAACTACGTCATGATAAAGCCGCTTTATTAAGTAAGAAGAAAATTGGTGATTCAACAAAATTCATCATCACACTTGGTGAGTTGTTTTTTTCTTGTTATTCATATTAATAATCTAAATATTTTCTTCATTCTTCAGGTGCAATGCCATCATTAGATGGAACACACGTAAGTGTCAAATGGATGTTTTTGTATTAATTATTAAAGTCATCTTATTTAACAGATCGTTTTTGGTGAAATTATACAAGGATTTGAAATTTTTGAATTAATAAATAAACAAGGTATATTTGATTTTAGTCTTAGTGCTGGGAAGCTGAAATCTTGTGTGCACATACTCCATCAAAAACGTAAATCAGAGGGGCAATTTCGTGTCGATTGCTTAAGTACAAAGAGATTTATGATGAATGAAAATAGACTGCACCTATTTTACCCTTGAATTTCATAATTCAGGAAAGGATGGCTTTTTTAGGTCAGCTCATAGCTTACTAAGTACTCCTACATTTCACCTATCAATATAATTAATTTCACTGGTGTCTGTCAATTCTCTCTAGAATTGTGGTCATTTTACTGTAACCATTGGTGTAAAGACAAGTCATATAATATCATTTTGAGACAATAATTCAGTAGTTATTCACTGCTTGATACGCGAATTGTTACGAAAGTTTCTCCTATAGTTGAACATTGATTTCTAAAAGCCTCATAAACAGACTGCTTACTAATGAGAAATGGCATAGATACGTCCATCTGGTTGATGACATTGAGGATTCGAAAAAATTGAAAGAGGTCAATATTCGAGCAAACTATCTCATCGCTTCAATGAAGAAAGATCAGTAGCTGTGCTCCATGTCCCTATAGAAAACGTCAAGGAATAGCGGTTGATTTGGTATAAACCACTGTCATATTAAGTGGATAGTATGTTGTTAGATAGAAGACCTCAATGCAAAAGTAACCTCTACGCATCATCATTTCCCTTGCATTTTAATCATCTGAGCTGAAATAGTGTCTCTGATCTACATTCTTGATGAACTGAATGCACACGAATTTTCAGGCCTTTAGCACTTATTATGCCTGAGATTCTCTAGATGGAAGACTTTTACCGTCTACTGTATATAAAATTTTTCTTTATATTTTTTTAGCTGTTGATAATCTTGTACGTGCTGGTGGTGCTTCTTCTGGTGGTGATGCTGCTGATTTTGTTGTTAATCATCTTGTCGACATAATAATATATTCATGTGGTGAAAAACAATAATTTTTTTTTTACTATATACACCACCTTACTGTTTTCATTAGGCTTTCTTTTGTATTGAAGAAAAGAAATGAAATAAAATAAAAAAGGAAATGACTTATGTTTAAAATATTCTTTTTTAAATAATAAATATAGAAAAAATTACTTTTGAAGAGACAATATTAAATTATTCTCAAAATAATTTAATTTTAAACATCAATCTTGATTTACTTATGAATATTAAACATGAAAATTTTTATTAAATAAACATATGATTTAAACATTTCTTAAAAAAGAGAGAAAACATGGGTGTGGGTGTGGGTGGGTGTGGGTGAGTGTGGGTGTCGGCTAGAAATGAAAATAAGAATACCCACACCCACACCTAGGGGTGGCACTTTAACTTTGAACTTAAAAAAAAAGTGCTTAAAGTTTAAAGTATCACTCTAACTTTACTTTACTAATTAAAGTTAAAGTGCCACCCATCCCACACCCACACCCTCAAGTAAAAGAGTTAAAGGGATTAAAGGGGCTAAAGGGAGTAAAAGGGCTAAAGGGACTAAAGGGAGTAATAGGAGTAAAAGGGCTAAAGGGACTAAAGGGAGTAAAAGGGTTAAAGGGAGTAAAGGGAGTAAAAGGGTTAAAGGGAGTAAAGGGAGTAAAAGGAGTAAAGGGATTAAAGGGAGTAAAAGGATG